AAGGTGTCCCTGCCTGTGGCAGGGGGATTGGAACTAGGTGATCTTTAAGGTCACTTCCAACCCAAACCATTCTATGGTTCTATGATTCTATGATTATTAACTCATGTGTAAACTTGCATGCATTTACCCATGCATTTTCCAGTTTTCAATTTGTAAAAAGGAGATGTTAGCACTTACGTATCTCTGGGGACTAAGGTCTAATCCTGGAGGGGCTCCAGGCTTGCAGTCTATACTCATAAAATGCACCACTACAGTAAATGTGAATAGGCATAAGTACCAACAGGCATAATGTTCTTGCAAGATTTGGATATACTTCTAAAATGCTATTCTGGGGGAACAATACTATCATGTAAATCTTATTCATTATTAATAAAAATTAAGTGTTTTTGGCATCCTTGAGTGAAAGCTGCTATACAAGGCTAATTCATAAATCTTTTCAGAGCCAAGTTTAAACAAAGCATTTGTAGTTTTTGTACATTCTTGGTTGATTAATTCTGCAAACTTGCAGAATATATATAAACATTTAATCTTAATTTTGCACATGCTTATACCTATTTGCAAATTACAAATTGCATAAGCACTGTAGAATTTGCATACATCCAAACAGAAGAGTCACTTTTGCAGAAGGGCTTTTAAAAATATGACCTCTTGTAAGTTTTACTAGTAAAATATAGAAAACTTGCTGTTACTTATGATGTAGAGCAGAAACAGCAACAAAAGCGCTTGCTTGCGACTGAGAAAACAATACATTCTTTGGTCCTTCCATTCAAAGAAAATACTTCTGCCTTGTTTTTTGCTTTTGTTTTTTCATATTCCTTCTCTCACACTAGCTGAATGTGGGTGGGAAACAGCAGAAACAGAAAGGGTCATGTTTGCTCCTCAAAATTTGAAGATGGTGTGTTTTTTCCTTTGCCACAGATGCTCCATGCTCATCAGTTGCCGTGTGCTTCTGAGAGAGAAAAGAGAGAGGGAAATTGCCAATAACATTGGTAACCTTAAGTGTAGGCATGCATAAAAATTTGCTGAAAATTGGGTTGCGGTACATGTTCTTATTTTAGATTTGCCCTTGTTAACGTCTTTTTAATAAACAGGTGCATACACTTCCCCAAGCTGTCACTGTTGTTTACCCAGTCTGCACTCTTTATAAATCTACTAATGAAATACACCCAATCATCTTAAGGATCTGTGCTTAATAAACTGGAGTCTTAAAGTTTTCAGGAAAATATTTTCAGTAATGTAGCTCTGCTGGATACAAGCTTTATAAGGTTTGCTTTCAAAGATTAATAAAAATGTGACATGATTTCAATTCTAAGTTCAGCACAATGTAATAGAGAGGTTCATATGTGCTTGACACTAAGATTAACAAGAAAGTGGGATGGAGAGAGGGAAAGGGAAATAAAAAGGTGTAAGAAACATTGAAAATTCATTTCTAGTGGAGATTGAACAAACAGGATGCTCCCATTGAGTGCCCAGACCACTGTGGTGTAGACTCAGGCTTATTTTCACTAGCTCAGCATCAGCCACCCCTGAAGTTTCATTCCTTTCTCCATCTCTTGACCTGGAGCAGAAGAGCCCATCACGAGACAGGGGAGACACTATTTTTGATGCTTACCAAGTGGCAAAAGATTTTCAACAAAAATATCCCATTTCCTTGGCAAGTGCTTCACTTGTTAGGCTGCCAAGCAACATATACCCTTGCTCATTCAGAGAAGGAGCAGCTACAAAAAGACATCCTTGGAAAAGGAATTTACATGGTGATTGTCAAAGGCATAGAGAAGCTTCCTCTCCATGCTGCAGTCTTTCATCACAACCGCAGCCTCACAGGTCAATTAAAGAGTCACCCCTAGCTCTAAATAAATATCTTACTTTTATTCATCCCTGCATAAGAAGGATATTGACCCGGTGGAGTAAGTCCAGAGAAAGCCACAAAGATGCTCTGAGGGCTGGAGCACCTGTTCCATGGAAACAGGATGAGGGAGCTGGGCTTTGTTCAGCCTGGGGAAGAGAAGGCTACAGGGAGACCTAAAAGCAGCTTCCAGTGCCTAAATGCGCCCACATGAAAGCTAGAGAGGGGCTTTATACAAGGGCATATAGAGATAGGACAAGGGATAGGGAATGGTTTTAAACTGAAAGAGGGAAGATTTTGATTAGATATTAGGAAGAAGTTCTGTGAGGGTGGTAAGGCTCTGGCACAGGCTGTCCAGAGAAGTTGTGGCTGCTCCATTCCTGGAAGTGCTCAAAGCCAGGGCTTTGAGCAACTTGGTCTAGTGGAAGGTGTCCAACTCAAACTATTCTATGATTGTATCATTCTGGATCCCATTAAGGGGACCAAACACTTACTGCTTCATTGCAAGTCTCAATTAAAGAGTACAGAACTAATTTATTGGGTCCATCACATGGTTCTTTGAGAGCAGCAGCTCTAAAGAAACTAACAGTTACAGTCAATGTATCAGAGAAAATAATTACTTTGCTATTGAAATATGTAAATAGGTTGAAAGTGTATTATTAACTGTAGTTTCATCTCATGAGCTTTTATACTGCATCGCTGGAGTTCAATATTGTTTGATTGTATATGGCAAACAGCAATTGCTGAAATTTCTTGTAAGTAACACCACAGGAGGAGTTTCTGCATTTAATTCTGCACCGAAGGTATCAGTTCAATAGCCATGGAGAATGTGATCTGTAATATCTCCAAAGAAGTTAGGAGAATGAAAGTACCAAAATACTCTTTTGCTGCCTCATTGCAGTTACTGCTGTACTTCAGGGTTGGATGGGTAATTCTACACTTCTGTTTTTCACCTTTCCATAGATATCACCAGTAGGGTAACCATGGAGAAATGTCTTCAATGCAGAAAACTCTTACATGTTTGACTGAAAAGCCTGATATGTTAAACAAAAGCTACCTATGTTGCCATTAGAAAAGGTAAAATTAGAGCTATACCAACTTGGTTTTCACTCAAATCTATGACCTACACAGAGAAATCAAATAACCACATAGACACCCCAAAGGCTTTCCAGCTCTTAACATGCTGTTTTAACCTACAGCTTCACATGACTGGTCTGGATGTGGTTAAGAGCTCCACAGTGCCACATTAGATGAAGCACCCTTGAGCAGCCTGTGCTGATCTGAGTCACAGTGTTCCACAAGAGACTACAGTCATGGTGCAGACTTTACCACTAGCATTATTCTGTCTGGGAAAAAAGGCAAAATAAGAAAAACCTTTACAGCAGCAAGACAGCATGCAGTACATATAGACTGATATGCCATGAAAAATGTTAGAGGGTCTCATTAGGGGCAAAGTTATTAGGCCAAGCAAACAGTTAAACCCTGTCACACAGAGGTAACAGAGTTGCCAGCCTTGAACTCTAATGGTACTCTCTGAACTCCGGAGAAGTGACTCTTTTTTTTGCAGCTTCCTCAGTACCATCAGTCTGCCATAATGCTGTGGTCTTTTTCTTTCTTTAAATTCTGGGCTCCAACTAATTACTTGCAGGAAGTGCCTATTTTTATGCCATTAGTATGCAAATGAGTGAGAAGTAGAAAAATATTCTAAAGGAACTGTTACAATATCTGTCCACAGATTACTGGCCAATTAGAACATGGGATTAGGGCTGCAGGACCCCAAAAGAGTATGGCCAAAGTCTTTCTGCTTGGGTGCCTTAAGTGTAATTTCAATGGGAACTGTATATACATGGTCCTTTTCCTCAAAAAAAAGGGGGAAAAAAAGTTCAAGACTAAACTGCCTGCTTACAAATGAGCACTTCTACAATTGAAAAATGAATGCCTTCACTTCCTCCCCTCAATTTTTCTATCCATAAATTGGGGATAAAACATCCTGTTTTGTCTGTGTTCTAGCACATGCCGGGGGCAAATTATTCAGCTGGACTGAAGGTCTCCTCATCTCTCACCCTGCCTGATGTCGGGAAGACAAACAGATTTATACAATTTTTTATAACGTGAGTAATAAATATTTAAAGATTTTCAGGTCTTACCACTTCTGCCTAGGTAAAAACCAGGAAGAACTGCCTGCCTTGTGACATTCGGGCATTTCCATAGCTTCATAGTGTCTGCAATTTAGAAGTGCAGGAGAGTGGAAAGCTTTTGGAAAACAACTTTACTGGGCATTTTGAACTTAGAAAATTGTGAAACAAACTGCTGCATTATCCTAAGGGTATTTCTCATGCAAATCAACCTTCTTGTCACTCTTCATAATCACTGATTAGCCAGAGTAGGAAAAAAAACCATAATTCCTCAAGTTACTGGTCTTGATGCTTCTAACAGCTGTACTCTTTGGAAATTTTGCTTCATCACTCCATTAGAAATTACTCATTATGACTTCCTATGAAAAAGAGAACAGTTTACATCTACATACCAAAGATAACACCATGCTTAATTGAGTCACCTTAACAGCATTGCTCCTCTGCAAACTTTCTCTAGAGAGGTTCTTTATTCACTGAGGCAGCAGCAGAGGGTTCACAAACTAAGCTGTAACAGTCACACCTGTCTGGCCTTTCCCTGGAGTTCCGCCACCTGAAAAGGCTTGATTTATCAGGGGAAAAAAGCTCACACACCTCTTACTCATATAGAACTGTAACAGCTCTGATTTTCCCTCCTTTCAGCTGCCTCTTTCAGAAAAGCATCTTTAGTGGTTTGTTTTTTTTTTTTTCCCCTTAGTCCACCTGGTACATAGTTTTGTTCCTTCTACCCATTCCTTCTCCCAACACTCTTTTGAACAGCCTCAATGCTTGTCATACAGGTGTCACAGCATCACTACAAATAGCTTGTTTTCCTTTCCAGCGCTCTGCTCCACTTAGTTTTCCTTTTCATTCTCCGGCCCAGCAGCTGAGCTCCGGCCGGCGGGGAGGTCCATCCGCGCTCGGTCAGCGCCGGGGAGCTAGCGCCGGGGAGCGAGGTCCTCGGGCACCTCTCCCCGCGGGCGGCGCCCGATTCGGAGGTGAGCGGCAAGCAGCGGGGCCCGGCCCGGGGCGGCGGAAGGAGGGGGCCCGGCTGGCGGCGGGGGAAGGCTGGCTCTGCGGAGCGCCGAGGAGAGGGAGGGGCCGGGACGCCGGCGCGTCGGTGCCGACGGTCTCCAGGCGGGAGCGAGGAGGAGGTGAGCTCCCTCTGGGTGGGGTAAGGAGCAGGGCCGCCCGCGCCAGGCAAGAGGGAGGGAAGGGGTCAGCGCGGAACGGCGGGGCGGGCGTTCGGCCCGGGGCCGGGCGAGGAGGAAGGGGAGAGGGCCAGAGGCGGCCGAGCGGTCCACGGGAGGAGCGGAGGGGGGGGCTCAGCCCTCCGAGCCCCGCTCCGCTAGGCGCGGGGGGGAAGGCGCGGGGAGTCGGCTCGCCGCCGCCGGACGCGGGCATGGGCGCTCTGCCTGACGTCGCTCCCCGGCACCTGCGGCGCGGGAGGCGCTGTCGGGGACAGCCGTCACCCCAGCCCTCCCTAAAATGGCCCCGCGGCCCTGCCGCCGGCGGCCGGCAGGGGGTAAGGGGGAGCCTCGCCGCCTTGGCGGCGGTCTCCGGAGGCGGGGAGCCGCGCGGGCCTGCGAGGCGCCCCGCGGAAAGGGGTCATTCCTTTGGCAGCAACCGCGGTGAGGTAGCGGCCGCTGCCGGCATTGGTGCCGCCTCCCTGGTGGTCCTAACATGGCAACCACGCTCCGGCCCCTTGGGGCCGGGGCCGCTGCCGGGAGGGGCGGGCAAGGCCTGTCAGCACCTTCCGGCCTCTTCCCCTAGCGTGTTCCTGGGTAGCCTCTAGAAAGACGCGGGGCAGCAGGGCTAGGCGCAGCCGGGGAAGGGAGTGTGGCCTGGCAGGGCCTGGCTCCCCTGGGCTCGGCGCCTGCCAGGTGACTACGGAGGAGTCGCCGTTGGGACGTGCCCTGCCGGCCAGGCCTCAGTCGGGCATGGCCCCGCCGCAGCCTCCCGGGTACCTGAGTGTTTAAAATGAGTGTTTGTGATTCTCTAAATACACTCTTGCTATTTTTAAATACAAACTGTGCGAGGCAGGCACTGCTTTTCCGAAGCAGGTACAAAGTGAATTGCAAAATTTGAACCGAGTTGCATTCGAAGTGCCACTGTAGCACAATTGAAGCGTTAATATGTATAAATAGTTATGCTGATAGAACTGTCAAGAAAATTGTGACCTTTGTGGTGGCATAGTGTCATGCTTTACAGAACATGGAAAACAAAAACATAAAACCCCTTCTTTTTTGCAAAATACATAGATTTGGGGATTTTGTTATTATTTTAACCTAAAAATATCCTGTGACATAACACTTCATAACAGAGGAGGTGCTTAAATATACTTTGCAAACGAATCCTAACTTTAGGAAAGTGTGTCTTGGGTGAATGAGACTTGGCATGTCGGCACAAATCTTTTAACACATGGCTGTGATGACTGGAGTAGCAGACTGGAGGAAAGAAACCATTGGAGGTGCAAATGCATGCACTTTTTTTAAGAAGCGGGGGAAAGAGTTTGACGCTTACTTTATGGTAGGATTTTCTGGTTGACAAGAAGTGGGTGTGCATTACCTTGGATCAGAGTTTAGACCAATAGGTAAAGATGAGTAGTAATTTCAGTGTGTCTTATAACAATGGTTTGGTGTAACTAAATAGTTACAAATTGGACTCTATTAACCTGGTTAACCTTAAATCTTAACCATGACAGAGTTTTAATGTAAAGAACCTCCGTACAAAGTACAATATTGCATTTTAATTGGAGTTTTCAAGACCTAATGTAGAGTGTATTCTTTATTTTTTTTTTTTTCTTTATTAGAAGTCCAGTCATAGTAAAATTCATTGGAAGCATACTTTCTGACATAAATTCAAATGCTCTGAATCGAGATTTCATAAATCAGTTAAGGGCAGGATTTTTTAAAATAGTGCGGATTTATTTATTTTTTTTTTAATCTATATGCCTACCACATATAAAGAGGTGAGCATTATTCTCAATATTGCAATACCTTGCTATTTACAAACTTTGTGAGCGATTTCCCAATATAGTAAGTGGCTGGCCAATCAACAGTGATGGTAGAACCTGAGAAACAAACCCACTGTCCAGCTGAAGGCATTGATACTTTACAAATGCATCGGAAAGTTCCTCTGTCCACTGATAAAAGACAGTTTGAATTCTCGTGCAGTAGTATTGTTACAGCTACTGTCAGTTACCGTGCTGAGAGTAGTTCAGTAGAACTGTGAAGCCAAGAGCAGCACATAACGGACTGGTCTTGTTTAGCCTGAATGAGGAAAGATGTTTGGCATGAGGCACTGATATGATACCAGCAAACATGTCCTGAATTTCAGTCTTTCAGGATTTGCCATGAGTTAACACACCTCTTAATCCTTGTTGGTCTCTCTCCTGTGTAAGGTTTGGTGCCATATGTGACTGGTACTGTTGCAAAAGTCATGCTCATAGCTTGTGAAGTGCCTGTGTTACAGCTGAAACATGTCACTTTTGCTGCTAAGTCACTTAGGCCCTAATGTAAAAGTTATACAACTTCCTTAATGTTGTTTTAAAACTAAAATATAGACATATTTTAAAGACCTCTTTGGCTGGAGGCCTGTTTTAGAGTGGCCAGTAAAAGTAATAAACTATCCTCAAAGATTTTTGCTCAATAAAATTTGAGAATATGAAAACAAAAGGTTCCTGGTTTAGCTTTTTAAGTAATGTTTTCTACATCCTATGATTGCGGCATTTGACACTGCATGTAGCTCAAAAAGGGGCTACATGCATTGAGCATTTTAGGCCTCTGACCCAGTCCACAGCATTGACTTGCGTTATTTTCTGTTTTGATCAGAGGAGTGGAAGTTTACAGTCTCTGACCAATATCCTGCACTGGTGGAAATTTCTGGAGAGACGTTTTTATCAGCAAAACAGCACTTTACTGGTGTACTTTATTTTGCTTGGAGTTCTTGGAGTAAACTTCTTGGACAAAACCTGAATGGCAGCCGTAAGCTGTGATCACCGTATCCTGATGTGGAGAAGGCCAGTAGTTTTAGAAGCATTTGCTGTAATTAAATTCGTTACTCTTTGTGTGACCAGCTGGAATCCAACTTAAAGAAATGTTATATATATATATAGATATGTACATACACTTACATATTTATACTGCATTTATGGCTTCACAAAAATATGTTTACACGGTACAATCCTATATTGTTCAGACTGGGAGAGCCATTGAGGGAACGCATTTCTCCTGCAGCTGTCGATGAGTAAATCCTTCACGTGAAATGTTCTCTTGTATTATCTGTTTTGGTTGCAAAGGGGAAGTCTTGGCCGAAGACTTAAGATCTTACCTGGTTAAATAATTTGAGTTAAAGAGCTGCTGTTTCTGTCTAAATTGGGTCCTAAAGCATAGGCTCAGAGGAAACATATATAGCATATATGTTCCTGTGTAACCAGAATTGTATTCTGTTGTAAGGAAATACACTAAGAATATATTTTAAGTTTCAAATTTTAATTATGTTGGTATAAATAATGGGACTGCTCTATTTGAGGGCTTCTGTGTACTGCTGCTTGAGACATAAGCCGTTGTGTAGTGGGAGTAGTAACAAAACCAAAGCAAATTATTTGCTGAGCAGCTGAATGGGGTGAGTACCTCATTGCTTGGGACTAGTTGTATGAGAACATACTGCAATATATACACAAGGCTGTTAGGAACCCAAATAGCAACCATTTTGGAAATACCTTGGCTACCATGTTGTTTGTTGGTTTTGTGGTTTTTTCCTTTCCATTTTTATGTGAGAAGCTATCTCCACCAAGTTTATAAAGGAAGAAAATCATCTTGATCTGTGGTGGCAGAGTTGTTAACAAGGAGCTCCAGTGAGCCTGCTTTCCTCTGCCCGCAGCCATCAGTAAGTGGTGCAGTTAGCAGTGGTGAAGCGGTGCCTTAGTGCTGCAAGGACAAACATCCCAGTGTGAATTTCACTTCTGAATAGATATATATCAAAGTATGTCTTAAGCATACACCTTAGCTAGCCATATTGCTGCACATCAGATGTGAAAGTAAAAATAAATGTGTGAAGCACCAGGCAGAGAGTATGAAATCTAAATCTGAAAAACATGTCTCCAAATAGTCTATTATCCGAAATTCTGGACCCCATGTATATATGGGAGCACGCATATATGTTTTATTTTTGATCCACAGTATTTCCTGTAGGCAAGAAATCAAAGATCTTTTCAAGTTATAAATGACAATAAGTAGGGAAGCCAGTATTTCAGATTGCTGGTATTTTGGGTATGAGTAGCTCTTTGATGTCCAAATGAGAGTGGGAGGAATGTCTAAAATGAACAATGAATTATGTAAAATTATTGATGAAATGCAGAACTTGGAGGAGAACAGGCAAGGCCAGGCACTAAGTCTGGTTTGGTTTTCTTTTTTTTCCCTGAATAATTAGTTGCTAGTGTTAAGAAAAGAAAGAACACAAACAGTTGAGACAGATGAATCCTGAAGCAAGTTAGTGCAACTTTGATTTAGATATTTGTTTGTGTATAGGTTTACATACAGTCAAACATGTGCAAAATTTAATAAATGTGATTAGCAGGAGTTTTCTCATTGGCAGTTAATATGGAACTGGGTTTGATATCTTCATACCTTAATTTTGCTGAATTGTAGTTTTGCTGAACAGTTGTTAAAAATTGTTGGAAGAAAAAAGTTAAATTGACAAAAAGGAAAGAGAAATTTAATCAGTTTTGCATCTGGAAACATCTTTATTTATTTTGTCTGTCCAACAGTGCAACCAGTGTACCTTCACATGCTGTTTTTGAGTTTTGTTCCAAGATTTTTTTTGTGCAGTTCGGTGACATGTTTGTGCAAAAGGTTGTCTATGTTAATGAACTCAATGTGCAAGTTTGATATTGCCATAGATACTGTGGGAATGTTTTCTTCTTAGAGGCACAACAGTGGTCCTTAGAAAGGTTACTTTGGCCATGCCTCTGGCAACAGAAAATTTGAGATGGTAGTGCCCTTCATGAATAAAATACTCTCCAGAGTGCAAGATTTCTTTCATAGGCTTTATTAGAAGCTGTAGTTGGGGGGGGGGGGGGGGGAATCTATGCCACTTAACTTCATGTCTGAGTAGTTGGATTCAGATTTAATATGATGCAGTCTTTTATTCC